AAGACTGTTAAACGTATACCTTCCGTAAAGTTCCACATTTGTCTACTTTCTCTAAATCAGTTTTTTTGTAGTTGTTGTTTTTGGGGATCTGTGAGATAGGCTTTTTATTTCAGCAGCGATGCTTACCGTAGAAACCTTTTCCTCGGATCCCGTTTTTTTTTTTTTTTTGCTATAGCCCATTTCTTATGATTGAATCATAAACGTGGACCAAGACATCTACGTCCTCTTTAAGTCTTTTTTTTTGTGTGTGTGTGTCAGGAACTTCTGGAAAGTTTCTCTCCTCCTTCGTTTGTGTGAATACTGGCTCACAGTCCCAAAGCTGTAGAAATAGCTTTGTCATGGTTCCCAGACTGATTCCCATCTGCTCACGAATTTGTTTAGATTGAAACAGAAGAGTCTGAGCTAAGGTCCCTCACGCCTGCAGCGAATTTAGCATCCAGACCATCATAAGGGCGGGTATGTAAAGACCGCTTCTCAACATGCACGAGTGGTCATTAAATGTCAAACTTTGTGGATACTCTGCCAAGACACAATTTCGCAATTGCTGTGTTTCCATTAAATAAGAAATGAAATGAAAATCGCAAGTTTGTTCACGCGACAAATTATTTAAAAAACATGCCGCGCCGCCGTCCTCCTGCAACTTCCTGTCGCCTTTTCCGCCAGTGGTGGCGTCCAGTCATCGATCACTTGACTGCTGTGATCAGGGGAAAGTGTTTTTCATTTGCAGTTTTGCCAAATACACCGATTTCGACGAAGCCGAAACATTTTTGCCGTATTTTCATGAAGCAATTTCATTTGCGTAATTTCAACAGCTGCAATTTTACCATTGATGGAAACGCGGCTACTGACTGCAGGTCTTCAGGAAACGGGTTAGCTTTCTTTGGAGGAAAAACAAAATCCTATTGGCTTTGATTAATTGCACGCTGATCTATAACATGGACTTTAGTTAATTTTTGTTTTCAGATCCTCTTTTTATTCCTCCAAACTTGCAGAGCAAAGTCTTCACTTTGCATCTCATAATGGCATAATTATGAACAAGCAAGGAGTTTTGAATGCACCTCGAAGCCTTTTAACCGACTTCCTGTTGTGAGACAACTTCTAAAATAATTTTCTGATTTTTATTGTCTAACACTAATCAGGGCTTAGATGGACAGATGATTAATTTTTCACAAAGAACCTGATTTGAGTTTAAAAACCTAAATCAAATAAAATTGTCATTTGAAGGATAATTTGTGTCAAGTTATCAAAAGAATCGCTTTTCTTTTTTTTTTCTTTTTTTTTGCTGTATATACAACAAATGGAGTAGAAACACATTTGGAGAACTTTTTTGCTTCATCCTTCTGTTCTACGTTGACCTACTTTGGCAAAAACACTGGCTCTGTTCCCCAGAACATTGTGAAAAAAGGTCGAAAACCTGCAAGCTCCTCCAAACCGCACCTCCCTCGGCATCCGCTTTCACTCCTGATCCACGCGAATGCAGGTTGAGTCCGGCACATGGACCCGCTCCAGATCCAACCTCAGCGGCTCTGTGAAATCTCTCGCAGAGAACTGTATTCCGGGGTTAAGGAGCTTACGCCTGATACTCGACGTGCAGAGAAAGGCGTTGAGCTGCGATTTTTCTCGGGATGGGTGGAGGTGGGGGGGAAGGGGTCGTAGAGAGGGGTAACGGAGCCTCTCTGTGTTGAATGTGCCTCATTATTGCTGAACTGTGCGTTACCTTTGGTAAACAGTGGGAAGCATTTCTCAGCCGAGCCTTGCTCCACAAGCAGCGGGCCGGTAAACGACCGCGGGCCTCCGACGCCGGCGCCACAAAACCCATCGCTCAAACCCGAAAGCCCCCGCAGGGATGTAAGAGTTTGGTCATGATTAGTCAGAAAAGAATGAATAATCTGTGCTTTCGACAGCCCCGTTCAACTCTTTTGTTGGTAAATTCCCGCACCCTCGCAGTTATTTTTGTGGAATGACCTTCTCAATCACCAGAAACGTCAGAAATTCAATTTCTGAGCGTGGCATTCATTATCATAGACCCTTTTTTTGGTGCTCAGGGGTACATCCCTGTTGACTGAGCACAAAATAGAGGCGTTTGTGCTTAAAATAATGACATCTTAGGGAAATTAATAAATGCGAGGTTAATTAAAAGCCTTTAAGGCGTTTGGCAATATAAATGTAAATAATGTCCCAGCAGCAGAGACATTATTGCATTAAACCTGTGCATTAAACACTAGAAGAGTGACATCATTTTGTAAGCCCTGGTAGAGAACACGCACCGATGTAATTATGACCATGAACCCAAAGTGACTGGCTGGACAAGGAGAGTGCTACCAGAGAAACAACCAATAGGACCATGGGAACGCCGGAAGGGTCAGAGAGAAAAACAACTCAGGTGGAAGAACTCACCATGAAACACGGTGGTGGTGGAATCATGCTGTGGGAAAGATGAATGGAGCTAAACACAAGGCAAAAACCTTCTATCAGAGACCTCCAGGAAGACAACAACTCTAAATGTGCAGCTACTAGCTTTTGCATTTCTATGAAGTTCCACTTGATTCTCATCCCCCTTTAGTGCTCCCTCTGGGATTTCTCCCATTGAGCCGAATTTCTCCAGCAGATATTCTGCCAGGAAAACCAGCAAACAGGAGAAATTTGAATGATGACGTTGATTTTCTGCGCTGCTTTAGAATTGTAGTCCGCCTGTAGTTTCAGCAATGGAGGAAATGAACGAGGAAGTGAATGAGGACGTGAACGAGGAGGTGAAAGAAGCCGTTCAGCCCAAGTTGGCCACACTTCCTCTGAACCCTGGTGTTTTTTGTTTACAGCACAGGCAGTTTCTGGTAAGCTTCATCGCGTCGAACTGGTGCAAACGTTAGCAGTTGAGAAAGATTTTAAACGTCCACAGTCCAGACTCTATGCACTAGGCAAAGCGTAGAACAAAGGACTGCTTTTTCCCTGGCTAGATTGCGGGTGAGTTAAACTGACCCAGTCAAAGCCTAGGCCTTAGCTATGGACCTGTGTTGGTTCATGGTAATAACTGAATACAAATCACTTTTTATTTGTATTTGTGTTTCATGTGTGAAGAAAAGGAAAAGAAATGCAAAACTATGTATTATTTTTGCTTCTATTTGTCATTTATGTGTTACTTCGTATTTACAGAGCCTATTATGTCCATGAAGCCCAACGAAATGCACTGACACAATCCAAAAAAGTTCAAAACACGTGCAGACTTTGCAAGGCAGCATTGCATATGTACGATCAACTCTAACTTCTTGCGCCTAAACCAGACATTTCCATTAGTCATCATCCCACCCGAGGTTTTCAGTGCAGCACCACCCCAGACTGGCAGCCCGATTCCAACACTTTCGCCCGTTCCCTTGAACCATTGTGACGTTCCGCCGTGCTCCGCGTCCTCACGCTGCGAGTTTCTCATGGGTGAGAAGTAAAACGAGGGTAATTAAATCTTCACCCCTCCAACTCCCTCTCCAACCACATCTGTCGAACTGAAAAGCCACGCTGCGTCAAAACAGATCCGCCTGAGCCTGCGCCCCACTGACTCCCGTAGTAGCGCCGAGGAGCCTGGGAAGCCGTTGTCGGCCTCTCCGCAAGCAGCCTAATGCCGACTTGTTTTCACGTCACATGACCCTCTGCAGAATCATTAAATCAAGCGCTGACTGAGGCGCCCTGACGGTTGGAACTTCACATCTGATGTGTTTCACGCGCTTAACAGGCGGCTGAGTGAGTTTGTTGTCCGAGGTGGCGTGCTTCAGTAAACTGTAAGCAGTTCGCTTGATTAAGGCACGCCGACATCTTGTGAACTCTGCACACCATAATGGATTTCCCTGCCTAATTGGAAAGAATGGTGAACAGTCAACACATTTCTTTTTTTTTCCCCCTCACAACTGGGCAGCTGCTCAATAGTTTGAGGGGGAAAAGAAAAAAACAAACCACATGAGTATCTTTCAAGCAATTATTCCTCCTCGTCAACCTTAAAAACCTTCAGTAATAGCTACTGTGCCATAAAAGAAATAAAGAAATTTAATTATTTTTTTTTTTTGCTATTTTGTCAAAAAAATATTTCAGCTCATCATATATGTTTAATATTAGACAATGATCATCTAAATATAGACAAAAAGGAGTTTCTAAACAACAATTTTATTTATTTGGAAAAACAGCATGTACCGAAAATATGGACTGGGGCAAAGCGTTGAGGTTTAACTTAACCTATTGCTGCTAAGAAATCACTTTAGTAGAACTATGACAACATGAAGAAAGTGAAAAGATCTCAACAAGCAACGCATTATTCACCAACCTAAAGACCTTCAAGAACAGACATGAAGTCTTTGACATCTAACCAGTTCTGGGATCCAGATGTACCGCAGTTAGAGCCATCGTCCGCAAATGGAGAGAACGATGAATGGCGGTGAAACCTTATCGAAAGCAACCAGCAGTCACACAAAGTGAAACAAATTCATAGAGGACTCCTGCAAGGGGTCACGAAAGAACGTAGAACAGTGACTTCGACACTGCAGACTTCAGAGGCCTCAGTTCTCTTCTGAGGTTATGGCATAAAAATAACCCTTTGGACCACTGCAAGCCCAAAACTACCAAAGCAGAACACAAGTTTCACATCCAACAAAGATATCCGACTGACTCCCACGAGCTTGTGAAAATAAATGAAATAAAATCTGAAGATCGACAAGTCAAAAGTGCAACGTTTTAGACGACATTTTTAAAATCGACAGCATTTGAGAAGAGAGAACATCAAAGCCAAACAGTTGCTTTTTCACATAACACCAGATTGCTCTGGGTTGCTTCTCTTGCTTTATGCATTAAATCATAATGAGAGAACAATATTTTCTACTGTAGGTATTGTGTGATATTAAAAAAATGTAAATGTGACACACACAAAAAAAAATTTGCTAAAGCTGAAGAAATTTGAAAGAGAATAAATGTGTTTTCAGAGAACAGTGCTTCTCCCAGTTGACTGTAATTGAAGCGTTTCTTACCTGCCCTGAACTTTGATGTCAGAAATGGCGTAGAAGTATCTTGACAGGCTGCTCTCGTCCACCATGGTGGCCCCAGTAGCGGGCCGAAGCAGCCGGATCCTCAGGTCCGTGATGGTGAAGAAATCCCGCAGGTTCTTGGTCGTGTCCAGCTGACCGTAAAGCGAGGCCATGTTGTGCAGCCTGGGCCCGGCAAACAGTGCAAAGCGGTCCTTGATCTCAAAGCGCACGGTTTTGTCATACTTCCACACGTACCCTCGGGAGTAATCCTCCGTGCAGATGATGTCCAGCAGGGTGTGCTGAGAGAGGTCCTGCACCGTTTTGGGCTCCATAGTGAAGGCGTCCAGGCAGTCGGTGGCGTAAAACTGGTAGGGTTGCCAGGTTCGGCCGTAGTCCAGAGATTTCTCCAGGACCATCTGCTCTGGCCGGCCCGACTCGAACGTGATGACGATGTCGTCGGTCAGCTCGATGGTTTTGTTTAGACAACGCTGATGACCAAAACGGTTGGGGTCGTACTTCTCCAGGTCGTGGACTGCCAGAAGGTCGTGGGGTTGCGACCCTCGACGTCAAACATCAGCTGTGGAGGGTGCGCCAGTTCCTCGGTGCTGGCGTCGCATTCGTTGTTGCACATGTACGGATTCTCCTGCGAATGACAGAAAACGGCGAGGTGAGAAAAAACCACAGCAAAGCTGAAAGGTACGCCATTCTTATAATTCTAGTGCAAATATCTTAGTACACTTGAAATAAGACTAAACCAATTACAAGCAACTTTTCAGAAAGATATAGGCGCTTGTTTTAAGTCAATATTAAGTACCAGTTCCACTGTCAGATTATTTCAGTAATAACAAGATGATTTCTATGTTATAAGTGAAAAAATATACCTGTTGAACAAATAGTCTTTCATCAATATTAAGGAATTATTGACCAATTATTGACTCATATATTACTGAAACTTCTAAGATGGTTTTTGACTTACTTCAAGTGTACTAAGATATTTGCACTAGAGATTAGACCATCAAATATTTGGTAAAACTTTGTGTTTTTGCAGATCTGGAAGACATTTCATCTTATTTAACGCACATCCCAATAAAAACACATTGGCAATAGTAATATAAGGTGATAAATTGACCCATGGACGATGTTTTTCAACCCTGAACTTCTTAGTTCTTCATATTTATACTAAAACAAAATCTCATCGACCTACTTGTGCGTTGTTTGTCGCTCAAGCCCGAATTAGACTCGCGGATCGCAGCGTTTATCCCCGAGCTTTAATTCATCCAGCACTTTGCTGGAAAGAGGTCTTTCTGAAAACATTTGTCCAATTCACCACAAATCATTACAAGGCAATGTTCTCTCCTCTCGCTCCCTGGGGGCTTGAACTAGCTGTTAGGAGGAGACAGCACTCCTCCAAGAGGACCTTTCAAGTGCTACAAGCTCCAATTTATCAGGACAAGATAATCCACTGCTTGATTAGGTGGGAGATGTCACCCTGTGCATGAGAGGGGGCGCGTGTGTGTGTGTGTGTGTGTGTGTGGCTGCCTGTGTGGAAGTGAGTGCGGCGACATGGTGAGGAAACAGCGAGAGCAGCTAGACTCTGATGTAAGACGGTGTAATGAAGCAGGGAGGCAGAGATTGAGTAAGTTAGCGGGAGAAACAGCTCCATTCGGCTAATAAGCTTCGCAAGTTTTCCCTCGTCCTCCAAGGCAAGGTGACAATGAAACAGGGTTCTGTCAGGCCCTCTGACTGTTGGAGGGGCCCCCCATTAATATCCTGTCTGAAACGTCCCCTGCAGGTTTCCCTGAGCGCCGGACAGCGGCGGCGCTTGGAGGAGACAGCTGAAGGTGGGGGTAAGTGGTGAAAATAAAATTCCAATCCGGGTTCCCAGTGTTACAGCACCGTGGTATGAGGTTAGGTGTGCCATTAACGGCAGCATCTGGCGCGCCTTAAAATACACACACAGATGCGTAATAACTCATAGGCGACAGTTATGTGTGCTTAGAGGCAGTAGGCAGTCCCTGAGAACTTCCACTTGTTATGCGTTGTGGATGTCTGCGAAGGAGGGAACATGGATTCATGGCGGCACAAGTCAGAGCTTTATGGACCAAGGAGGATGGAGGAGAGCGTGTCGGTTCATTCATGTTGGTTACAAGCTCTGCAAAGGTCTTCGTCTGTTGCGTATCCACCGATTATATTCAAGCTATTCTTCTTAGTACCGGATAAATGTGAACGTTACAATTGTTCTTACGCTATTTCTTTATATGTTCAAGTGTTGTCTGTGTCCCTCAGGATAACCTACAGTTGCAAAAAATAGTCCCACTGTCTTTTTGGTAGGAAAGCATCAATGTGAACATAATCCTGTATTTATTGCTGTTATTTTTGATAAGCAATACTTGCCGAAATTATGTATATTATAAATATTTTGCTACCCTTTCCTACACCTCGAATCAAATGACCGCATCACCAACTTCACCACTGCTCCTCCGCTTCAGCTACACGGCCCACGAAGCTGCGCTGCATCATTGTCACTGTCACGTGACCGATCTACTCCAACGGCAACAAGATGGAAATACAAATCGGTTATTAACATCGGGCCATTTTTATTTATCAGACTGATACCGACTGATATCGACAATATATTTAGCATCATTCTGCAAACTTCTCGCTATAGTCTTCTTGAATTTTGCGAATTCCTACTCAGAATTGAGTCACATTACTGTTTGGAGAGAGAAGATTGGGTCTTCGATTGGTACTTTGTGAGTAATATCGACTAAAATGGATCATTGTCCATTTAGAAGACAGATTCTGACTCAACTTGTTCTATCCTGGCTAATGTCACGAGATCTTGCTTCAAGCTCTCTACATAATGTTCTCTCCTTATGATGCCATTTATGTTTTGAAGCACACCATTCCCTCCACCAGAAAAACTGGCAAATACATGAAATTTTGTTAGTCCTGTGTGATTACTTGAATCATAAATAGTTCTTTTCTCTTTTATATATTTTTTAGATCTATTTTCTGTGATGTGGACAGATGCATGGCTGCTTAGTTGTCCACGATTAAAGGTATCCTTTAAATCCACTATTTCACAGTTTTACAATTAGATATTGGTCTATTAAAGGCCCCTTTTGGATTAAAATATTGACCCCGATGAATCAAATCCATAATCTTGTTGTATTAAATTAACCCAGGCTTTGGCACGTCCACATTTAACTCTGGAACTGGATGAACATATCACTGAAAGTGGGTTGCTTATAACAGATCTTGAAGAGGAACAACATCCTATGCATTTCATATTCTGCATTGATGTTATACACATTCACAAAGACTATAGCGACTTTTAATAAATTCTGTATACCATAGATTTCATGACATATGAAATAAAATGTCTTTTGTTTTACTACTTTTATATTTTCATGTGTGTTTGTTGCAGCTCCTGCACTACTTAATGAATATGAATGATGTTGATGCTCATGACTTTATGCGATAAAGAATAGGACAACTTGTGTGTGTGTGTTTATGGGAGAAATGTAGAACAGCTGAAGTAAGGAGAGTCTAGTGCATGCACTGAGTGGATTTGTAAATTATTCAGTCAAAACTCTGGCAAAGTCACTTCCTGACCTGATTCCTCTGAACCCACGTGTTTTGTTTTGCTGAGCTTATCAGAAGCTTAGCGTGACCCGCAGGTCGACCTGCGCCGCCCCGGGGTCACGGGCTGACCCGCAGATCGCAGCAGGTGGGCCGTTAAAAGGCAGCCGGCAGATTGAAGCTCCGCCGCTCACATCGGTTGTTTTTGCATCAGAACTTTGCAAAGTTGCAAATGAGACGAGCAAATATTTCCCCGGCTGTATTAAAGTGTTCAGTTTTGTGGGGGAGTTTTTTTCCCTCCAATGGCTCTGTGCTTATCTTTATTTTCTCAGAAAATAAGTGCTTTTGTTTTCACAATATGCTTAATTTAGAGGATGTCACTGAAGACTCAAACTCTGAGCGCGCACGCAAAAAAAATAAAAGAAAACTACAAAGAGTTTTTTATTTCAAAATAATAAAATGCAATTTGCAATGATATTTGAAAATCACTGGGGAAAAAGCTGAAATATTTTCTGGCTATACACTTTATGATGAGTCGTAACAGCAAAATTATAAAATGCCAAAATTTAAGATTAGTGGTTGCCCTGAAGTCGGTGTGACAAGGCAGGCTTTGAAACAGTTAACTGAAGAAAGAGCAAATGAAGTAGGAAGCAATCCTCTTGACTCTTTGGCTTCTAAGAATAGATAAGGACTTTTCTTTGTGCTCAAGTGTTCTGTTTGTAATTTTGCTGTGTCTCTGCGTTTTTTTTGTTTTTTTTAAAAAGCACTCTACAAAAACAAATGCTTTATTCACAACATTTCTCAGCATTTCTAATCCCAAAGAGATCATGTTCATCAAGGGAGGAAAAACTGTTCCATATTAAACAAGGCAACAATCTATTTTGATTTACTTTTTTTCTTTTTTGGTAAATGTGACACACTTTTCAGATTTTTTTGTTGTTGTTGCAAACTTCCTTAAAAGCATTCCCTTTTAATATTGAGTTCCTTTAAATCCAGACTGAAACACACCTGTTCGGAGTTGCTTTTGACCCATAACCACTGGAACATTGACACTGGCAACATACTGTATCTGATGTGCGTTGACGATTTTGACAATATAATAATGATGGTCACAGGTTTCTGAAATTGGTGCTGTTCTAATAACTGTAGTATAAACTGATGAGTGCATTGCAGTTCCCCAATGCAATGCAATCTCAAAGGTCAGTTTACAATCCTGTTATTGCACCATAAAAGCAAAAGGCAGAAAGTATTTGCACCCTTCTTTTTTTTTTTTCCTAATAAGTCATATTTATTGCTGCCACTGTTAACACCCACGCACGCGCTGCTCCTGCCTTCGCCAGCACATCTCTGTAATCAGACAAAGATAGATATCTCTCCATCGATCCCTGCGGCCACGCAGCTGAAAATCTGCTGCGTGCAGCACCTGGCAGCGCTGACCACCCCACGCCCCACCCCCCGCCGGACACGCGCAGGTTAAAGCCTTTCATTAGCGTCTCCTCCGCTTCTCGACAAAATACTGCCTTTATGAAGATCGATAACCTCGCCCGGGGCCGCTGGAGAGGAGGAGCGCGGAGATTAAAAAAAAAAAATAATAGTAATAAAAAATGCTGAGTGTACTGACAACCCACACACACACACACACACCCACACACACAAATACCGAAAATCAATAGCAGATTTCTGCGTCTCGCCGTGGCACGCTCAGCAAGATGAATTAACGGGGCCGCGCGCGGTAAAACAACTGATGGCACGAGACAGCCGCATTCCTGTAATTACTAAAGATGTTTCTATTAATCCGAACGTGATGATAAGTGGACAGGCAGGGATGGAGGGAGGGCGAAGCCTTTAGAGATTACACAGCCGGCGGCGGCGGGGTTCACTGTGGCGGACGGGTTGCGCCAAATCAGTCCTAATAGAGATGCCTCCGCTCCGCCCCACCCAAAACGCGCCGGCCTAATCCGATTATGAGGCCAGGTCTTCAGAGGGGGTGAGTGGGGGGCGTCCAGGTTGGTTGGTGCTCATGTACCAGCGAGGATGACGCTCGTGGGCGGATTTCAT